ACACATCCACCTTTCTACTCAATCATCCCTCTACCTTCCTCCTCTCTACTCTGTACACAACTATTGTTTCCATCCATCCATCCATCCATCCATCCATCCATCCATCCATCCATTTATCTACCCACCTCCACTGAGCCTCTTCTGGTGCTGGCACAGTAAATGAGCTTGATATAGGTCATGTTCTGGGGAACAAAGTCTGGGGGACGCTGGCCACAAACAGATTCTTCTTTCAGGCCCTGAGACTGATGCCAGGCTGGGGAGTAGGCATTAGAGACATCTTCAAGAGGGGGGTCTTGACCTCACCTAGACCCAATGTGTACTCCCCAACTTGGACTAGCATACACAACAGGTCTCAGAGTTCCATGTTGTGGAAAAGGGGGGACAGGGCATCCCAGATCCAGAGGCCAGGGCTGGGCCCCCTCACCTGTGCAGTGGGATGGGTTGGCTTCGCATCCTCTGCCAGCATCCCACCCCCTTAGTGAGCACCAGGGAGGCAGCACAGGAGACACTTGGGAGCTTTATTTCACAGGGCAGAGGTGCAGGCTGAGGGGTGCACATGGGCAGGGAGGGATAAAGGGGCCAAGTGCCCAGACAGCCTTGGTGGGTCTTTCCGCAGAGGCTCCCTGATGCTCTGTGGGCCTCCTTGGGAGCATCCCCCCCTCACACTGGTGAAAGGCTGGGCTGGGGGGAGGGGGGAGGAGGAGGTGGCGGGGTGTCCAGAACTGAGGGAGGCAGCAGCAGTGACAGTGGCACTCTTTGGAAGCGGCTGGTTTGTGGCGTAGGCGCTGCTCATTGGGGCCTCCCCCTGATGCAGAGAACACTGTTGGCTGGCCCAGAGTTCCGGAGGCTGAAAGACAGTGGGAATCAAAGGGGCCCAGGACATTAGACTAGGACCTGAGGGGTTCTGCTGTGCCCAGGACCCTTTGCCCAGCTTCCAAGTCCTCCATGACTGCCTGGCCTTGACCACTTGCCTCTCCCCTCATTGAGGTGGCCTTTCCCTCTCTGACCACCAGCACCCTGCATGTCTCCCTGAATCTGCTCCCCTCAAATGAGCCCCTGAACTCAGACTGGGGAAGAGACACCCCAGCATCCTGGCCAGAGGGCTCAGGCAGCCAGCCCCAGGGGCCGACCTCACCTGGCCCTCAGCAGAGCTGATCCCGGCACAGCCAGCCCCCACACTGTGGCCCCCAGCCTCCTGGCCCCCCTCCTCCCCTGAACCAGACAGCTTCTCTCTGGGCCCAGACGCCATTTGTCAATGTCCTTGCGAACACGTGGCGCCGGGGAGCAGGGCGGGCGGCAGTGGAGCCAGGACCACCGAGCCAGCACTTTTGCGGGAAGATCTCATTTAGCACAGCTCAGCGGAAACCTCCCCACCTTCTGGCCGCCCCACCTCAGCGTGCACCTCGGCACCCCCAGGGGCCCGCTGGCCGCCACCCCTCAGTGCGGGCTCCCAGTGGTGCCTGTGGTCAGGCTGGCGGCGGCGAGGCGGCCCTCACGTGTCTGGCCAGCAGCGCGGCCGGGCACAGAGCCCCCAGCCCTCCCCAAGCGCCACTCAGAGCCCACTCTCAGCCTCATCCTGCCTGGCCACCCACATGGCCTTTCCCTCGTCGTGCACAAAGGCAGCGTCCACTTGGTGCTGGTCAGGGCACCAGGAGGCAGGGACGAGTCAGTTGTTGTTCACGTGGATGGTCAGACACACAGGGCAGGTCTCAGGAGATAGTAGTGACATGCATCCACTCGACTCAGAGCCCTTAAAGGGCAGGGGATGAGTGGGGACCCCGCAGGGGAGAGGGTGGGGGAGGCCGCCCTGACTGCTACGTTCCCCCAGTGCAGGATGCTCAGTTCAGCCATGGCCACTGAAGCAGGCCGTCCTGGACCCCAGCGTCCTCCAGGCCCACCCCCACCTCTGCTGCCCAAGCCCGGCAAGGACAACCGACGACTACAGAAGCTGCTGAAGAAGGCTGCTCAGAAGATGAGGAACGGAGGGGCGCCTGCCCCGCCTGCGGCCTTCCGGGCCTCCCTGTCCCCCGTGAGCGAGGCCAGCCATGACCAAGAGGCTGTGGTCCCACGTGCTGGCACCCTACTCCCCACTCCCCGGTGCCCCGCCCAGGCACCCCTCCTGGTGGCCACCCCGGCTCGCTCCCCGCACACACCGGTCACCCACCATGTGGCCTCACCCCTGCAGAAGTCCTCCTTGTCATTCAGCCTCACCCAGCACGACAGCCCAGCTGCCTGGCCCCATGGGGCCTGCACTCCAGGCCTGGCTCCAGAGGTGGGTGGCACCCACGTTAGCCAGGCGCAGATACGACTGGTGCCACACTCTCATTCTGGGACCCCTGAGTCCCCCAGGACTGAGGACACCCCTCAGGCCTCCAGTGCCCAGCCCCTCATCCCAGTGGCTCACATCCGCCCACTGCCTGCTGGGGTCCAGGTTGCCAGCCCCAGGCCAGAGGAGGCCCCTGTGCCCAGGTCACAACCTGGCTTCCGGGCCTCTGTGCCCAGAGAGGCCAGCGCTAGGATTGTGGTGCCCATAGCACCCACGTACCGGTCCCCAGGACCCCCGATTCATGGCCTGGCATCGGAGTTCCCCGTTCCCCAGGCCCTGGAGGAGGTCCCCACAGCTGGCCCTGGGGATGAGGTCAAACAAGTTTTCAGGCCCCAAGGAGTCTTGTCCCCTACCCTGCCATCGGGCCCCCATCCTTGCCCTGCCCCCAAAGTGGCCCCCAAGCCCAGGCTCAGCGGCTGGACACGCCTTAAGAAGCAGCTCCTGGTGGAAGAGGCGCCCCCGGACCCGAGCCCGGCACCAGGCTCTAGGATGCAGCGAGAGGATGAGGCTGCCCTCTCACGCCTGGCACCCAGGCCTCCGGCCTCCCGGGCCTCCAGGATGTGGGATGCTGTGTTGTACCGCATGTCTGTGGCCGAGACCCGAGCAGCAGGGCCTGCGGAGGGGCTGCGGCCCCCGACTGGCCAGTGTCGGCTGCCCTTCCTGTACCGGCCACGCTTCGATGCCCGCAAGCTGCAGGAGGTCGCCGCCCGGCCCCCACCTGTGGTCCTGCCAGACCTGCAGCTCAGCTTCCGACCCAAGAACTTCAACCGGACCGCGGCTGGCTGGCGGTTCTAGCGGCTGCGGGTCCCCGGGCAGCAGGCCCCAGCGGGATGGCCAGAGGGGCTGCACTGGATGAGGTGTGCAAGGGCTGGGGGTGAGAGCGAGGTGCTGAGGACAGCCGCTAAGAGGGGCTGTGGGAGGCTAGGAGGGCTGGGCCAGTGGGCAGGGGCATGAGGGACTCAGGAGGTGACAGCAATGCAGGTGGAGCAAGTCAGGGAGCCAGAACAGTGTGTGCGGTGGTGAGCTTGTGAGGAGGGACCAGGAGGGCCACGTTCACAGGCTATCGGCACCAGGGAAACGCATGGCAAGACCTCAGGTCTGCTCTGAGGCAGCAGCGACCCCAACCCCAGCCTCAGCATGAGTTTTGGGGGTCTGGGTTTGAGGATCAGGGAGGCGTGGGGGCAGGGCCTGGGCCTCGAGGTGCTGCTGGCGCGGGCAGCCAGCTCCTGGCTCAGCAGAAAGAGGCCTTGGACTTGGGCCCCACGGGCTCCCCCACCCCCGCCCCGGCCTGGCCGATCCCGGACAGATTTATGTTCGTGGTGGGAAGCGGAGCGGTCAGAGTGCTTCAGAGCTCAGCACGGTCGGCCGCAGGGCAGTTTGGCGGCTCTGAAGGATGGCTGGGAGCCAGGCCTGGGCCGGGGGCTCAGGAAGGAGGTCTGGAGGAGGGCTGGGGGCCTCAGCCCAGTGGGAGTTGGCAAGGATGTGGGGTGCTCAAAGTTCAGGCGGGAAGAAGTGTGCTCAGTCCTAGAGCTAAGTGGGACTGTGGACTGGGGGTGCAGAGAAAGAGCCTCCAGATCTGGTGCAGTTTGGGGGGCCCCAGCCTGCAATGAGGCTTTACTGAGTTGGAATCAGGGCTCTGCTCTAAGGAGGTGTGGAATGAGGAGATGGGGAGGGAGACTGGGGCAGCAGTAAGACCTGGAGAGGGGATGACAGCAATCGGCGGGGCCTGTGTGGTGACACCCGGGAGCCCAGGACCCAGGCCACTAATAAAGACCAGTGTCCTCAAGGCTATCGACGTGTTTCCTGTCTTGTCACCAGGAGTGGTGAGGGCAGCAGAACCCGAGGGAGCCCCCAAGATCTCGGTCTGCTGAGTGGTGAGCGACCCGGCCCCACAGGCTGTCCTGTCCACTGGTCCCAGCCTCTGTGACCCCTGGCTGGCCTTGACCCCATGAGGAGCCCAAGTGGGGTCTGTGGCTCCTCCTGGTAAGGTGGCCGTGCTGGTCTGAGCCACAGTGATGACCTACACCAGGCACAAGGTCTGGGGAGCTGGACCAGGGTCTCTGTCTGCCTCCCAGCCAGCCCTGGTAGCTGGTCATATGCGAAATCGGGCCCTGTCCTCTGCGCACTCCATGGGCAGCACGTGCTCTGGCTCCACTGGGCACTCACCACGTCTGCTGGCCTAGGGCGCCGCACCCTCGTCCACAAGCACCTTCTCGTACTTCCCATGACCGGTGGCCACGAACTTGTACCGCTTCCCAGAGGGGGTGCTCTGCAAGAGAAGGAAAGCAGGAATGTGAGTGTCCAGGAAGGGGCCGCTCCACCTCCAGGTTGCCCCCAACTGCCCTCCTGGCCACCCCCACGGAGGCCACGGCGTGGACCCACCTTGACCGTTGACGAGGTCTTGGAACCACCTCTCTGCTCCCACAGGCTCCTCATACTCATGTCTCCAGCAACAATGTCCTGTGTCCAGGATGAGCCAGGTCACAGATACAGCCCCTGACCAGGCCTCTCCAAGTCCCGGGCCCTGCTCGCCTTCCCTCTGTGCGCAGGGTCCCAGTGCAAGGGCAGGAAACTTGATGGAGACACCCCCTAATCCTCACCTTGCCAAACATTGTGGGGCTCCATCATTGGAAGCCCACTTGTTCACCCCAAGTGCTTTCACACCTACTCTTCCAAGGGTCCCACCCTGTTGCTGTAGTCTCCAGTCCTGTCTTCCCAACACAGCCATGCCTACGGGAGAGGGGTCTTACCTTGCAGGAGGCGCCCTTAGCTGCAGACTGGCCTTGAACTTCTCCAGTCTCCCACAGACTCTTGGTATTAGCTACAGCCATACTAGGAAGCTCTATGGAGGGCTGGCGAGCTAACTTGGGGGTCCGACCAGCAGTCTGAGAAGACAAAAGCCCAGGAATACTTTAGTGGAGCGCCACCATGGCAAAGAGCTCGCCTTGAGAGACCTCATTTGCCCCAGGATCGTTCTCCCAAACCAGAATGGGGGTGGGGGGTCCATACGTTCCTTCACCGTGCACACTCGTGGGACACACCTTCATCTGAGGTGTGTGAGTGATATGGAGAAGTACAGGAAGGTATCTGTGGCTCGTGGCATGGGACCAGAGAGGTGGGGGTTCATGGGGGAGCATAGACTATGGAGGATTGATCTGGAGTTGATGGGGCATGTGGGTCAGCGGGGAAGCGAGTTGAACAAAGGATCACGGTTTACTTAGACCTTTGGACTGAAGGGGCAGAGTTTGGGTCAATGTGGGACATGGGCTGGTGGAGGAGAGTGGCTTTGTTGGGGGGTTATGGGTTGGGGTGGATGCGTGGGATCATACGTTTTGGATTGGGGGTGGAGTAGGAGTTGTTGGGAGAGCATCAGTTGGGAAGTGTGGGTTTTAGGGAGACCACGGATTTACAAGCGCTGGGCTGAGGAGGGCTTTGAACTGAGTGAAGGCCTATGAGCTATGGAGGACGTTGGGTCTGGAGGAGCATGGATCTGCAGGACAGTGAGTTGGTGGGATGCTTCAGTTGCTTGGGGAGTGTGAGTTGGAGAGAAGATAGGCTGGCTTGGGTTGGGTAGGGTGCGTGCAGCTGTGGGGGTGTGCAAGCAGTGGGGGTGTGGGTTGAGAGGAGGAATTGGAGTTGATGGAGGGATGGCAGTTGGTGGAAGAATAGATACACAAATGGAATAGTGTACCCCACTGCGGAAGAGGGGACTGGGCAAACCTCAACGGCCTGGGTATACTGCTCCAGACGCTCATCAATCTTGGAAACAGGCAGAGCTGGTTCTGACTTCTTCACACTGTTAACACAGGAGCGATTTGTCAAGTCCTGCACCTCAGCGCGCTCCTCGTTCCGCTGACTTCCTGTCAGAGCTCACCTGGGCTCTGTACCTCCACCCGCAGTCCCTGCCCTCAACCCCCTCATGGAGGAACGTCAGTACTGAGTCCGGGTCTGGGAAGACATACCTTTTCTCTACGGAATGGTTCAAGGACTCAGTCCAGTCGATGAGCTGTGAAAAGTGGTCAGTCAGCCTGGGGGTCCCGAGCAAGGCTTACAGTCTAATTCACATTATGTGCATTGGTTCCTATTTGATGAGAACCCTGGAAACTGGAATCTAGAAGGGTCTGGCGTCTGAATTTATCTCCTGCTCTAAAGAAATCCAGCCCCCAAAGACAAGGCCATCTCCTTCCACCTTGCTCTCCAGGACAGGGACCACCCCTTCACTTATCAATTCTGTCAATTTGGGGCAACTTTGCCAAATAGAAATTTTAGCTTAATTTGAGGTGAGAGCTGCCTCCTGTTGCCTTGTATTCATGCTCTGACTTCTGCCTTTGACCCCCTGTGTTCCAAGTGGTCAACCATATATTCATCCTCCCTAACTTTCCTGTGTCCGTTGAGCCATCTACTTCCGTTTCCACGAATTCACCCACCTTTTCATCTCTCTGTGGTTTACTCACTCTCCCATCTAGCTACTCTTTCTTTTAGTCATCCACTTACTTGCCCATCAATCCTTGTAAGTGCCTTTCCTCCTTCCATGCTCTTCTTCCCTCTCTTCCTCATTTCCATCTCATCCACACATTCACACAACTCATTTATCTTTCTTTCCTTTCACCTATTAATTAATTCATCCATAAATCATCCATCCATTCATCCATCCATCCATCCATCCATCCATCCATCCATCCTCCATCCATCCTCCATCCATCCATCATCCATCCATCCATCCATCCATCCATCATCCATCCATCATCCATCATCCATCATCCATCCATCATCCATCCATCCATCCATCCATCCATCCATCCATCCATCCATCCACAAATCCATCCATCCTTCCTTCCTTAATTCATTATCTGTCCATTGGCCTGGCCTGTCTTTCCATCCTCACTCTCACTCTTCCACTCATTCATATTTGCTTCCTTCATCACACACCCTTCCTCCCTCCCATTTATCCACCCCTCTTTTCTTCTTCCATTGATTTTCCTATCACCCCAGGCATAACTACAAGGTTTTCTGAGTCCCCAGCCCTGGGGAAATAGCCAAGGAGAAGCTGGTCGTGCCCTTGTGCTCGGGGAGCTGACATATGGCTCTATCTCAGGGTCTTTCTCATTTGGTCATGAGCCTGGGAGAAAAGAAGGAACAGTCTCTGGAGTTTGACCTACCTTGGTGGTGGGGCTCAGGGGAGTTGGTCTGTGCTCAGGAGCCCCCTCCAAGGCCAAGGGACTGGGAGTCCTATGCTCGTGACCTTGTGGGTGCTAGGGATAGAAAATTTGAAGCTCTGAGGCCTGGATGGATCCCTCTTGCCCCATCCTAGGCCTCCTAGAGCTGAGCACTCCCCTGCCTGGGCCTCTGGTTCTTTCCAGCTCTGACATGCTCTGCTCTGGAATTCTGTGCTGTGGGGCCATAAGCCCAGGGCAGAGCTCACCAGCATGGAAGATAAATTTGTCCCGAGGGTCCCCATGATCCAATACTCTGAGAATGTGGAGCAAGAAGGGGCTGAAGTCTGAGGATGTGGGGTTCAAGCTCACAAGAAGGGGCTGAAGTCTGAGGATGTGGGGTTCAAGGTCCCTAGGAGGGCCCTCGGGCGTGTGTGCAGCAAAGATCCAAGTCTAGGGGTAGCATGCTCCCAGCACGCCTGGGGTAGGGTTTTGATCACCTCGTCCTCTCCCTCTCCAGCCTCGTCTGGACCCTGGAAGTCCTGGGCTGGCTCTTCAGAGGCTTGGGGCTCTTCCTCCTCCAGAGCTGGCCCCTCCTGGGATTCTACCACAGATCTCAGGCATAGTCCTTCAAGGGGAACTTGAGCATGGCTTAGTTCATCGATGTCCTTTTGTTCATGCCCCTGGGGCCTGTGGGGAGAAAGAGAGAGGGAGAGCCAGTCAGGAGCCATCTCACTGTTTGGTTCAAGTTCCCATCCATTTCCAAGACTCAGTTTCCCCATCCAGGAAGTGGGCATAGTCAGAGGAGTGAAGCAACAAGAAATCCAGAGACCTTAGGTGCTGGAAGCCCATGGGCTTCCCTGACTTAGTGTTCAGAGGAGCCGGGATCCCTGCACACATGGGCCTCCGACTTGCCCCAGTCGTGGCTCTCCCGCCCTCAGAGCCTGTGCCTAACTCTTCAGGACAAGCTGGAGTCTCCTGTCTTGCTCACTCACATTCACCCTATAGCGCCCACCCTTGGTTTTAACTGGACCCTTGGTGTCCTGTTCCAGCCACTTAGTGTGGGGTCAGTAGGGTTTGGGAGAAGTACACTGAGTGGGAGGGAAGTGTGGGGTCTGTGAGCTGCTGTAGGGAGGTGGAGGAGAAGGGCCAGCTGTCCGGGCTGCAAGGCTGGGGTGGTGCCATCCATCAGCGGCCAGTGTGGCTTCATGGGAGAAGGCCCGAGCTTGGAGGAGGAGGCGGCAAACCCTGACATTTTCCATGGTCTCAGCCGTGGTCCAGGCCCACCCAGCCGAGGTGGGCTGGGGTCTGAGCCAGGGCAGCCACACAGAGGGCCATTCAGGCTCAGGCGGTGGGCAGGCGGCAGGTGCTGGAGGTGGGAGGCTGTGGAGTTGCCAGCCCCAACTTCCACGAAAGGGTCAAAGTGCCCCCTGCTGTCGGGACCAGTCCAGCAGATGGAGTGGGGGGGGGCTCAGAGCCATGGACAGCCTACTGTACTGCCACGATTCCTTACAGAAATGCAGAGCTGGTGTCCATCCCCAGGGCAGACAGGGAAACTGAGGCCCAGAAGGAGCTTGGTGGGCAGTGAGTCAGGGCTGAGTGACTGCAGAGCTGTGGGGGTCTGGTCTGGGGCGAGGAAGGTGGATTGGGCCGTGGGAGGGGTTTCCGCAGAGTTCACTGCAGCTATGAGCCTAGAGGTGTGGGGGGCCTGGAGAAGAAGGAGCCTCAGCTCCACCCCGAGAAGTGGGGACCCTCTCCCTGAGTTGTGGATCTCTGGGGTCAGGTGGAGGTCTGATAAGAGGCAGCTCTGAGGGCATTTGTGGGGTGTTGATGGCTTCGACCCTGACATGTGGGAAGGGGAGTAGTTCCCCCCAGCCCCCACACGCCTGCCTCTGACAGGCAACCCCCTGCACATCTGGAAATACCTGCTCCCCTCCTCCGTGGGAATGGAGGCCGGCCAGACCCGAGGGAGGAAGAGGCGGGCGGCTCAGGGGCTGCAGGGCCCCCGAGTAAGTGGGCTGCAGATGTGTGCTGATGTGGTAACACCCGGCCAGCCACAGCTGCTCTGGATGGGGCCCAGGGCCCCGGGGAGCCCAGGAATGAAATGTCCTCCGCACCCCTCCCTGAAGCCCCTGGGCCTCCCGCTCCTCTCCTTTCCTCCCTCCCCAATACCCTCCTCCCTCAGCCACAGGGGAATCTTGGGGGGCTGCTTGGGAAGGAGAAGCAAAGGGTCTGCTGTGCTAGGTGCTGGCTGGGGGGCTTGGGGAGGGTCTTCGCCACTTGCCTATTCTCCTTGGGCTCCTGTGCGCTGTCCTCCTGAACAGCCTCCCTGCCATCCACTTCGAGCCACTCCCTCGGCCCCAACTTCTGGGAACAGTCTCCAAACCCCTCGTCCTCATCCAGGTCGGGGGCTTCCAAGGGTTTCAGGTTGAGCCTGGAAGAGAAGAGTGGGAACTTAGGGCTGGAACCCCGTGCTGCCACCCACCTCTTCCGCGTCCTTGCGCCTGGCCTCCAGGGATAGCAGGCTGCAGCTCGGTGGCCGGGGCCCCCATGGTTCTAGCACCCATCAGTGGACTGCTCAGGGCAGCATTCTGCCTCTTCTGTTAGCCTGGAGTATCTCAGAGCAGGGTGGTGCTTCCACCATCAGTCTGGGGCTCTCTGAGGGCAGGCCGGTGCTTCCTCCACCAGTCTAGGGCTTTGTGAGGGTGGAACAGTGTCTCCCCATCAGTCTGGGGCTCTCTGAGGGCAGGACTATGTCTTTGCCATCAGTCTAGGTCTCCATGAGGTGAGGCTGTGCCTCCACCATCAGTCTAGGGCTTCCTGAGGGCAGGGCTGTATCCTCCATCAGTCTCGGACTCCATGAGAGCAGGTCTGTGTCTCCACCATCAGTCTAGGGCTTCCTGAGGACAGGGCTGTATCTCCCCTTCCATCTAGATCTCTGTCAGGGTGGGGCTGTGTCCCCCCTCAGCCTTGGGCACCAGCTCTCCCTGGCCACTGTGCCTGGCTTCACTGGAGTCCAATCATCATGAGTCAAGCCCCCTGAGCCATCCAGCCCCATTGTCTGTAGCCCTGGACCCTTGTGACAGAAGTGACAGTGGTGACACTGTGATCTTGGGGCTCTGTCTTCTGCCCTGTCCTTGCTCTAGATCCTGGCCGGTGGGCCATGAATGCTGCAGCACCCCATCATCCAGAGCTGCTGACTTGGAGAAATGGGGACACAGTTGGCAGAGAGGACGAGGTGCTGCTGGCCACATCTCCGGCCCTCCCAGCCTCTTGGGCCCAGGCAGGAAGCGAGCTGGTCAGGGCCTGCCAAGTCGGCCTGGGCCTCCATGAGTCACAGTCCTGGGCCTGGAGTGGGGGGCTGTCAGCCAAGGCCGTGCAGCTGGGCGCAGAGCATCCAAGTGAGGACCAGGCCGTGGTGCGGGCCAGCGCCTGAGTCAGTGTCCCAAAGGCCAGCTGCACACGTGGCTCCTGGCTGCATCCACACCCCAACCGTGAGAACCCTCAACATGCTGTCTGCTCTGGTTGGGCCCCCTTGACCCTGTTCTGAGGCCCCAAGTCCAGGGCTCCCTGAGCGTCCACTCCTTGCAGGCCCTGGCTACATGAAATCGGGGGCCCTGGACCAGACACCCCGGCGGTGGGCTTACGGTGTGTCCTGCTCAGGTCCCAGGGTCAGGTGTCCACTGTCCTCATCCTCCGCTTCTGGCAACAGCTGGTCCCGTTCACACCAGGGCTCCTCCTCGGCCTCCACGTTCCTTTGCCTGGGGGACCAAGACAGCTGGTAGGCACACCAAGCATGGCCTGCATCCCTTCTGCCTCCCTGGCCTCAGTTTACCTATCTGTACAATGCAGACCAACTGGAATGGTGGTGAAGGGACTCCAGAGCCCCTCAGGCCTGGAGAAACCCTTGGGCAGGGCTCAGACCCCTTTCTACAGACCTGGCCCTAGGTGGTGTCCCGTGTGACTCCGACACGGGCATGGGAGGGCTGGGGTCACCGGCAGCAGCCTGACTTAGTTGTAGCGGTCAGTCACTGTGGGTGGGTGGGTCTCCTCAAGGCCAGGCCCAGTTGTCAGCCTGACGAGGTATCCTTCCTGGTACGTAAGAGTGGGCACTTGGAAGTGGGTGCCCCCACTTGTGCAGGGCAGAGTGCAGGCTGCCTGGCTGGCGAGGCAGGGCCCTATGTCTCCGGCCACCTTCATCCATGTCCATGTCTGAATCCACGCCAGCACCACCGGACAGCTCTGCCTCTGCCCTCTGTGGACTTGGTGGGCATCGTTTTACAGATGAGAACCTAAGTTCTGCTGCAGACTCAGGACAGAAGGCTGAGGCCCCCAAGCCCGGACAAAGCTGCTCCCCAGCTGACTGGCAGCCAGGGAAGGTCTGCTGGGGACCAGGGTCCGGAGGGCCTGGGACCACCACACTCGGCAGCTCCACCATGCAGACCCCAGGCCCGCAGCCCTTCTGCCTGTGTCCGCCGAGTGACCCCGGGCCTGGCCGCGATGAGGCAGCCTGATGCTTGCTGGCAGCTCTCCTGGCCAGCGCATGATCTAATCCCCCTCCCAGGTCTCCCTAAGCCTCTCAGACGAAAGCCAGGCCCCTCCACAGGCCCAAGTTCAAGGCCTGCTCCCCCGGCGGCCACGGGGGACTCCAGCCATGCAAACCAGACCTCGCTCCAGCCTCGCCGCCCCCCACCCCCGCCCACCGCCAGGCCCCCAGAAGTGCCTTCAGCTCCTAACCCCACAGGCCCCGAGGAAGCCGCTAATTCCCCACACCTGGCTCCCATCAGCGCAGGATGAAGGCCGCTTCCTGCCTCAGCCATGGGAAGGGGGCCTGCAGCCCCTCCACCTTGAGAGGGGGCGCAGGGCTGAGCTGGAGGCTGGAGGCGAGGGCCCAAGGCCCTGCACGTGGAGGCTCAGTGGTCAGGGCCTAGGCTGTGGGGTGCAGCGTGGGGTCCCCTGTGGTGTCCAGGCTAGCCTGTGTCCCCCGCACACACACAAGATGTGTGTGTGCCCACGTGTGGTGTGTGTGCGTGTGTGTGTGGCCATTCACATGTCCTTGTCTGCGACTCTGTATGTTTGTTAGTGTGTGACAGTATGTGTGTGAAAGTGCTTATGTGGTGTGCTAGCTGAGCTGTGTGACTGTGTGTGTGACAGTGTGTGTGTGTGTGACACTGTGTGTGTGACACTGTGTGTGCGACAGTGTGTGTGTGACACTGTGTGTGTGTGACACTGTGTGTGACTGTGTGTGTGACAGTGTGTGTGACAGTGTGTGTGACACTGTGTGTGTGACACTGTGTGTGTGACACTGTGTGTGTGACAGTGTGTGTGTGACACTGTGTGTGACAGTGTGTGTGACACTGTGTGTGACACTGTGTGTGACTGTGTGTATGACAGTGTGTGTGACACTGTGTGTGACAGTGTGTGTGTGACACTGTGTGTGACAGTGTGTGTGACACTGTGTGTGTGTGACACTGTGTGTGTGTGACACTGTGTGTGACTGTGGTGACTGTGTGTGTGACAGTGTGTGTGTGTGACAGTGTGTGTGACACTGTGTGTGACAGTGTGTGTGTGACAGTGTGTGTGTGTGACAGTGTGTGTGTGAATGTGCTTACGTGGGTGTGCTAGCTGAGCTGTGTGACTGTGTGTGTGACAGTGTGTGTGACAGTGTGTGTGACAGTGTGTGTGTGACACTGTGTGTGCGACAGTGTGTGTGTGACACTGTGTGTGTGAGACACTGTGTGTGTGTGACAGTGTGTGTAACACTGTGTGTGTGACACTGTGTGTGTGAATGTGCTTACGTGGGTGTGCTAGCTGAGCTGTGTGACTGTGTGTGTGTGACAATGTGATTATGTGGGTGCAAGCAGAGGTGTGTGACTCTGTGTGTGTGTGTGTGACTGTGTGCCCTAAGTTATCATGGGGATAGCTCAGGACTCTCCCTGGATAGGTAGGCATCCTGGGGTGGCTAGAGGCTCTCACCTGCCCCCAGTTCCTTCCTACCAGGCTCCAGGAGCATCCAAAAGCACAAACACATGTAGGCACTCATAAGGGGGGCCAGGGACACCCCACATGTTGAAGCCTCTCTGGTACCCCAGACATCCCAACCTGCTTTCTGCAGTCACCTTCCACAGACATGTCCACTGACCATGAAAAGACCACACAAGCCGAGGCCCGTGGCCCTGTATGTGTGGGACACACACACACATGCACACACACACACACGTGCACGCACAGAGGAACTTCTTCCACCGATCCTCGTCAGATCCACACAAGGAGTCCCCCGTGGACGCGCTAACATCTCAGACAGTGCTTGGATGTATTGGAGCACACGTGTGTCAGCGTGTGCTCACCAGGCCTCAGGCACGTGAGCACACACATCCGCGGTTACGTCCACTCAGCACATCTCAGGACAGTGCACACGCGTGCACACGGACGTCCACACTTGTGCTCATGTTCACACACACATGGGATTACACACAGCTGTCCACATGCATGTCCACACATATGCTGGGGCTGAGGACCCTGTGCCCGGGGGTCCCCGGTGCTCCCACGCACGTGCGAGAGCGCGAGAGCGGCCTCTCTGAGGACTCAGGGCCCCTGGCCGCTCTGTTGACTGTTTTCCTCCTGTTACTGTGACAACGAGGTACAGCCCCGGTGGGAGGCCCAGCCAAAAGGCCCTATCCTGAGAAATGAGCTTCATGGATTCAGGGACAAGGGGCAGTGTTCACGTAGGCTGGGGGCTCTCTGCACCCCCTGAAACCTCTCACCGGGAAAATGAGCTGACCTGGGCCCTGGCTCTGCGCACTTCCCCACCCCCGGCCCAGGATGTGAGTCATGGAGCCTGCACCCCTCCCCATGACCTCACCCCACTCCACAGCTGGGCTGAGCTGGGCCTGGGAGGGACGGCTCTCCTGGGGTGGGTGGGGGCCCAGCCTGGAAGGCGCCCCGCAGGCCCCTGGCGTACACAGATCTGTCAGCGTGATGGCGGCCTGGCTTGGCCTGCCGCAGCTGCTGGGGATTTGGTGTTCCCAAGCAAGGCAGTCAGCCGCATCCTGTGTGAGCTCTGGTCTCTGAGCCAGAGCTCAGCCCGAGGCCCCGCCAAGGGGCTCCAGCCTCAGCCCCTGCCGCCCCACACCCCTCACTGCGTGGCCTGTTTCCCAAGTGCACCCCAACTACAACAGGCTAGGACACAGCACTGCCCTGAGGACAAGGTTCCCTAGGTCCAGACTGCCTACAATGCCCCCCACCAGGGCTCAGCACCCTCATCTTCCCATACCCCTACCAGGACACGGCCTCCCTCATAATCTCACACCCCCACAGGACACAGCTGCCACATCTTCTCCCACCTCCACCAGGACACAGGGACACGGCCCCCTCGTCCTCCCATATCTCCCACCAGGACACAGTCGCCTCATTCTCCCATGTCCCCCACCCTGACACGGCCCCCTCATCCTCCCATATCCCCCATTCTAACACGGCCCCTCATCCTCCCATATCCCCCATTCTAACACGGCCCCTCATCCTCCCATATCCCCATTCTAACACAGCCCCTCGT